GCAAAGGCGGCCCCAGGGCCGCCTTTGCCCTGCCCCCCAGCTCTTAGCTCCCCCATGGGTTTCCGATCACTGTAAGTGGCAGGGGGCTTCTCTTCCTGTTCCCTTTCGCCTCCCTGCATTGTGCCTACATATGCAAATTAACCGCCATTTTGTTGTCAGTTAACTGCCATCTGAGTTGTCAGTTAATTTGCATATAGCCCTGATTAGCCAATGAAAAGGGTAACTCGTACGCCAATTACCATTTTTCTCTTTTATTGGTGTAAAGATAGTACAGACTGGGTGACTTGAACAACAGCTTTTTATCTTCTTTCAGTGCTGGACGTTTGAAATCCTCGGTAAAGGGGTTGGCAGTTTTAGTTTCTTCTGAGACCTCTCTCTGTGGCTTGCAGGTGGCTGCCTTCTTGCTGTGTCCCCACATGGTTGTCCCTCTTATGTGTGTATTGTCTTTGTCCTGGTCATCTCTTCATGTAAGGACACCAGTCATATTGGATTAGGAGCCTCCCAAATGATCCTATTTTTGACCTTATTCACCTCTTTGAAGTCCTTATCTCCAAATACAGTCACATTCTGAAGTGCTGTGGGTAAGGACTTAAACATTTGGACTTTGAGGGGACACAATTCAGCCCATAACAAAAACCAGAGCTCCCTTTCTGCAAGTAGCTAGACAGATTCTAAGTTTATACTGATAGGGGAGGAGGGAAGATGAAAAAGAAAGAAAACTCTGGAAAAGAAGAACAATAAGAGGAACCTACTGAATATTAAAATAAACTTTTAAAGACCCCATAATTTTAAAATGTGTAACTGACATATGAACATATATACTATGTAGACAGTTCAATGAAACAAATACAAAGTTCTCAAATTTTTGAGTTAATTTGTAAGTGTAACAATATAATATGAGTTAAAAGAAATAAAACTTTAATTCTCATTATTTCTAATGTTTTCAATTACATTACACTAAATATTAGTTTTACTTTTTTCATTTGTGTTTACATTTGTAAATGACAGGTTTTAATGTTTTGACAAAACATTAAAGGCTTTGGAACAATTGTAATTTTCCCCATTGTTTTGTATGGCTTCAGTATGCACAGCCATTTCTATAGTTCTGTACTGCTAAGGTACTGTTAAGTAAAGCAAGGACGGTCTCTCTCTGTATAATTTACATTCATATGAAGAGATACTAAAAATTGGGACAAAGTCCAACAACCCAGTAGAGAAACAAGCAAAGTGTATAAACAGACAACATTCATAATGGCGTATCCACACATTATTATGTAACTAAATAAAGGAAAGCTCTTATGTACTGACTAGGGGCCCATTGCATGGATTCGTGCACCGGTGGGGTCCCTCAGCCTGGCACGTACCCTCCTGCAATCAGGGACCCCTCGGGGGATGTCAGATTGCTGGTTCCCCCAAGGATTGTAGTAGTTCGCAGAGTGGTAGGTGGCCGGGGCACCACTTCATTTGTTTGTAATGAAGTCTGTCACTCCTGCTCATCCCGGCCCTGCTGTGCCTGCTGTTGCCACTGCCGCTCAGTAGCACTGCGCCAGCCGGTAGCACTGCGCCAGTTGGCAGCACTGCGCTAGCCGTGAGCACTGTGCCAGCCAGTAGCACTGCGCCAGCTGGCAGCACTGCGCTAGCCGTGAGCCCTGCGTCTGGCGCCCAATGGTCAGATGAGCGGCGCTCCCGCTATGGGGGTGCACTGACCATCAGGGGGCAGCTCCTGTGTTGAGCGTCTGACCCCTGGTGGTCAGTGTGCATCATAGCTACTGGCCAGTTTTCCAGTTGACAGTCACGTTGGCTTTTATATATACAGATGAAAGACAACTTATATATGTGCAGTGAAAAAAAGCAACTGCAGAATGATATATCTGTTGTGTATATATTTGACTATGTTTTATATGTATGATACCTTTTGTGTAACAAAAAAAGAATGTATGTTCATGTTTGTTTTTACATAAATTAACAAGAATAGTACATGAGAAACCAATAAAAGTGATTATCTGTTTTACGAGTGGAGTGAGAGCTCTCAAAGTATGCTTGGTAAATATTGTTTTGAGTTTGAGTCATGTGAATGAACATATTATATATAAAAAAATGTTTTGCCCTAACCAGTTTGGCTCAGTGGATAGAGCGTCGGCCTGTGGACTGAAGAGGCCCAGGTTCAATTCTGGTCAAGGGTATGTACCTTGGTTGCGGGCACAACCAAGGGGGTGTGCAGGAGGCAGCTGATGGATGTTTCTCTCTCATCGATGTTTCTAACTCTCTATCCCTCTCCCTTCCTCTCTGTAAAAAATCAATAAAAATATTTAAAAAAATTTTTTTAATCCTCACTCAAGGATATTTTTCCATTGAATTTTAGAGAGTGGAAGAGAGAGGGAAAGATAGAGAAATATTGATGAGAGAAACATATCGATTGGTTGCCTCCTGCACACTTCCTGACGAAGGCCCGGCTGGGGAGGAGCCTGCAACCGAAGTACGTGCCTGTGACTGGAATCAAACCTGCCACTCTTTGGTCTGCAGGCCAACACTATCCACTGAGCCAAACTAGCTGATGCTTATATATAAAACTTAAAAAAAATAAGTAGGTGCTTAAACAAGGAGAGATTTGCAGTAAAAAAGCAAGAAGATGAAGACAAATGTGGGCATCCTCAAAAAGTAAATCAGTGGTTTGAAATTGTTTTAGAATATAATTTATTTTACATGAGTTGCATCAATAATGTTGACTATTTTTATTTCAACTAAACCTATCTGAAAATGAAGTAACATATATATTTTTTCACTTTAGTATTAACAGTACCAGCAACAGACATTGCTGAAGAAACTGTTATAAGTGAAGAACCACCAGCTAAGAGACAATGCATCGAAATAATTGAAAACCGGGTGGAATCTGCAGAAATAGAAGTAAGGAGTCTTTTACCCGGTGTGTTTTGCTGCAGTCATCCAAAATAAATCCAATTTGCTTTTTTTTGTGTCTTTTATATTTATTACTGACAGTGTTGTTTTGATTCGGAAAGTATATAGTATTATTTTGTTTAATTTTTGCTTTATACATATAGCAAACCCTCAATAAATAAATATTGAATGAATGAATGAATGAGTGAAGAATTTGTTTGTAATGAAGTCTGTCATCCTGGTAACATTGGAATGTCTTTGTTTCTTGCACGCCATCCTTCATTTTCCATTAAATTTACATACATCATTCTCACAAGTCACTAAAACAAATATCACTGTATATTGACTAAAATTGTTTTCTCTTTCAAAAGCGAAGTGCAAATGCCTATTTAGGCTGGGGAGATCTTTGTAAAGAAGGTTGATACTTGTCAAGTGGGTTTATTATAAAGCCATGGATAACTGCTTATTTTACTTAATAAGTCCGTTAGGGAAATTAAATTTAGACTTTTTTTACCCTCTCCCAAACTAGATTATAAATGCAAACCATTGTGTAAGTATAACTAATCTTTAGTTACCTTGCAGGTTTTTTTTCTCACATGACTGTAGATAAAATTATGTCCCCCAAATTGGATATTAGCTTATATCAAATGACAATACATTTATTCAAAAAGTTATTTTGGAGTTTTTATGAGAATTTAAAAAATTACATACTCATTATACACAAATTCATAATTTCTGATATATGTGAATAGTAAATGTTGGTGAATATTTAAGGTTCTTTGTAATAGAAAAGAGAGGATTTGAGAAAAAAAAAGTCACTAGAAGGCAACATAATCCTGGTTGAGGACAATTAGAAAATATCCTTTGCCTAAATTCATTTAAATGTAAGACTGGTATATTGGCCACAATCACAAAGAATTTTTGCGGTGAAAATATTATCTGGTTCATCTTGTAACCAGAATATTTGGCAAAATTATCTCTTTAGTTATTGATGGTAAGCTGTTTTATTTCTTAAAAATTTAAAGTGATATTCAGTACATTGAAGTTCTTACAAACTAGCAATTTATTCCATTGAATAGTATCATATACTTATTATTTAGTAATCTTTTAAATATCTTTTTCTGATATGTCAGATGATCTTTTCTGGCACATAAGGTAAAAAATATATACAGGTGTCTCCTTAAATGTACATACTTTGAATAATTATAAAGGCAGTATTTATTAAAATACATTCATTTTTAAAATGTAATACAAATCAGATGTTAAAGTGTATATGCAATTTTGGGGACACCCTGTATATGTATATGTATGTATATGTCTATATGTATATCTATGTGTGTGTATACATATATATATATATATTTTAAAGAATGATTTATTTATTTTTTATTTAAAGAATAGTTTGTTAAGTTTTAGAGAGAGAGGAAGGGAGAGGGAGAGAGAAATTTTGATGTGAGAGTGCAACATTGATCGGATACCTCCTGCATACCCCCACCAGGGATTGAGCTCGCAACCCAGGCATGTGCTCTTGACCGGGAATGGAACCGGCAACCTCCTGGTGCACCAGATGATGCCCAACCAACTGAACCACACTGGCCAGGGCAAGGTGAAAAATATTTTGTCATGTACTTTGCTTTAACTATTTAATAAAAATTATCTTTAAAGTTCTTGAAATTAAAAAAAAATCTACACCTGAGGATATGTTTATTGATTTTAGAGAGAGGAAGGGGGCGGGGGAGTTAGAGACAGGGAGAGGGAGAGAGAGAGCATTGATATGTGAGAGAAACATTGATTGGTTGCCTCCCATATGGGCCCCCATCCCGACTGGGGACCAAACCTGCAACCTATGCCCTGGTCAGGAATCAAACCCTCACCCTTTTGGTATACGGGACGACACTCCAACCAACTAAGCCACCTGGCCAGGGCATTACTTGAAATTTATTAAACATAAACTTATTGAATTCAATTATATTTTTAAATCATTGAATGTGCATCCTGTAGCTTTATTTATCTAATGTGAGAATTGCTGTTTTCTCAAAGTTCCACCTGATTCTCCTCTTACAGTCTTTCAGAGACCAAGAGGAAATAATGGTAAACAACAGGAAAGTATGACTTGAGATATGTAAATTATCTAGAACCATGGAGATACACCTTCAGGGGATAGAGTTTTAACTTGGTATAAAGAAGAGTGTTTGTTTCGTTTTTAGTATGTAGAGTTTTCTGGTGGTGGAAATCTTATTCTCCATCCACAGAAATGTTCAAGCCAAGGTTGCATGATGTCTTAGAACTATTATAAAAAGACCTTGAAGGATGCAGTAAGTTTAGATGGTAGAGGTGGGCTGGAGTATAGAATGAGGAGACCTCTAGTGTTTTCATCAGATCAGGTAATCATTTCCGTATAACACATGAAGTAGTTTTTTGAAGTTATTTTCTTAGATAATCAATAGAATTGTCTTGGGACAGATTTTTTTTTATTACTCCTCTCTGAGTGACAGTTTGGTCATTCTCACAAAAGTCTCTCTAAGGCAGTGGTCTGACCTGGGGCAATTTTGATGCCAGGGGACATTTGACAATGTCTGGAGACGTTTTGGGTTATCACAATTAGGGGCATAGCATTAATATTTGGGTAGAAACCAGGGGGGTGCTGCTAAACATCCTACAATGGTGCAAGGACAGAGAAACTGCTGTAAAGGAATTAAATTAACTCGTTATATAGAATCTAACATGTTTGTGTTTCTCTGTGTGTATCCACAACTACCAGAGTGACTGTCTACAAAGAAAGTATTAATATATACAGGCTATCCCCCCTAAATATATACACTTTAGCAGCTGATAGCTCAATTTTGAAAATTAAATGAATTTTAATAAACACTGCCTTTATAATTATTCAAAGTGTGTATATACATTTTTTGGGACAGCCTATATTTACAATTTCCAAGTTAACATTGGAGAGATTTATCAATAATCTCCAGAAATATTAGTTTAAATTATAGAAAGTTTATTGTAAATGTGGCTTTCACATCTGCATTATAGCAATATAGGAAATAAAATAGATTTATTTTTTAGAGGAAGGTATGAATAAAACTAAATTGTAATAATGTATATCATTTTATCACCCCTTGATATTACTGTACAGTATATTTTTGGAAGAAGTGTGCTGTTTTTGGATTTCTTTCATAAATAAACACCAGCCTAATCTGAATTGAAGTTCAAACTTAATTGTACATGTGGGAAGGAGGAGATGTAATTAGTATATTAGGAGTAACAGATTTTTCCCTATTATTAATTATGTGAATTCAGGAAATACCTTTATCTGTTTTTTTGCTGTGGAGATTAAAGATGAATGTTTATTAGCAAGTTTTTTTTTAATGAATAATTTATATCTTTTAACCAGTGATAAGTTGGGATCCTTAGTGTTCTTTAAAAAATTAATTTCTATAAACTTTACAAAATGTTTCATTTGATACAATTTTTAAAATTTGTTTTCTGCCCTGGCCGGTTTGGCTCAGTGGACAGAGCGTCGGCCTGCAGACTCAAGGGCACCAGGTTCGATTCCGATTAAGGGCATGTATCTTGGTTGCGGGCACATCCCCAGTGGGGAGTGTGCAGGAAGCAGTTCTCTCTCATTGATGTTTCCAGCTCTCTATCCCTCTCCCTTCCTCTCTGTGAAAAATCGATAAAATATATTTAAAAATAAATAAATAAATAAAATTTGTTTTCCTTTTATTAATGATGAGCCTTTTGATCTTCCAAAGTTTAAAATTTTTTATAGTCATATCCCTTTTATTTGTTAAAAAATATTTTTATTGATTTCAGAGAGAAAGGGAGAGGGAGAGAGAGAACCATCAGTGATGAGAAAATCATTGATTAGCTGCCTCCTGCACACCCCTCACTGGGGATCGAGCTCGAAACCCTGGGCATGTACTTTGACCTCCTCGTTCATAGGTTGACGCTCAGTCACTGAGCCACTGTGGTTGGGCAGTTATATCCCTTTTTGATAATTTTTTTTTCTAGCGCTGGAGTAGTCAAAATTTTTTTGTAAAGGGCCATTAGGCTAATAATTTCAGCTTTTTAGGCTATATGGTCTGTGTTTTGCTACTTAGTTCTGTCATTGTGGCAGGTTAGCAACCACAGACAATTTGGAAATGAGTAGGTATGGCTGTATTTCAATAAAACTTTATTTATAAAACTAGGTTCATATTTGGCTTATGACAGTTAGAAAATTGATGTTTACACACAAACAAACGGACAGCTCACACACCCTGTCCAGTTTCCATGTTAAAAAACAAAACTAAACAAAACATTTAATAATTTAAGAATATGGGTCTGGACTCAGATTTAGATTTAAATTATACTCTACAATTTTCTGATTCTGTAATATTGTTCAAGTTAATTTAACCTTTGAAGGCTTGGCTTCCCCACCAATAAAAAGGGGAAAATAATAGCACCTCTGTTATCAGATTGTGTAAGGTTTAAAGGAGGGTGGGTACATGTGAAGGACTAGTACAATGGTAGGCATATAGTAAGTGCTCAATAAAAGATAATTGCTACTAGCTGAAACAGAATTCAAGAATCTTGTTTGAAAATGAAAGAGCAAACTCAAGTCTTACCTTGCTCTGTTGTCCCATTGCCTAATGCAGTAGTAATATATTGCTTTTGTTTGGAGTTGTGTAAGACAAATATTTTCTTTTATTGCTACCAAATCTTATCAGAATTTATTTTTTTGGAATTTTTCAATGTTAGTCTGTTAAAGGAAAAATACTTTAGGATTAATATTAGTACAATTATTTAATACTAATAATATTAGTATGTTTATTGAAAAATGTCAAAATTCTTTTTATTGTGGTTTTATTGCAAAAGGTCAAAGCTATTGGATTGGCATTTCTATTTAAATATAAATCTAAAATGTGAGTCTGGACCATTTTTTGCACTATTTATATCCAAAAAAACCAAATTACTGTTTGCATTTAGAAAGTATCTTACATGTAAATATGTTCAGTAAATGAACAAATGAATTTGGAAACAGGATCTTTTGAGTAAAATAAATAATATTTTCCACTTTTTAGAGATTTTTATTTTTTTGCTAAGTGAGATGGCAAAAAGATTCTTTCCCCAAATACCTATATTTCTGAGAAGTAAAAAATGAAAACACAAACTTTAATAATGTTAACTATGCTTTTAGCTTATAATAAGATATATTCTACTAGTTGAAATAAAAATACAAAATAAGGAAAATAGGATTAAACAGTATTCACTGTTAGACTATTTATCTCAGTTTGCTTTTATCCTTTGAAATAATTGTGACTCCCTTGCTGTTTCTAAATGTTAATAAATAGCTACCAGGAAAAGATATCTTAGAGTATCTGTTTTAATTTTTCCTACCAAATCAGGGAAAATTTCTTTTATCCACATTCAAAACGTTGGCTACCAAATGATCTTATTTCTTAACACAAGTGAAATTTGATAACACGTACGAATAGCTGTAAGTGTTCCTGCTAGCTCAGTGATGGCGAACCTCCAACACGCGAACTCATTTTTTTGGTTGATTTTTCTTTGTTAAATGGCATTTAAATATATAAAATAAATATCAAAAATATAAGTTTGTTTTTACTATGGTTGCAAATATCAAAAAATTTCTATATGTGACACGGCACCAGAGTTAAGTTAGGGTTTTTCAAAATGCTGACATGCCGAGCTCAAAAGGTTCGCCATCACTGTGCTAGCTGGTTAGGGTCTAGCTAGTTCCTGGGGAAGCAGCCCCATCTCCCCCTTTCCCATTGTTGTGCTCAGTATTCCATGGTTCACTGCCAGGGGACTGGCGTTGATTGCTTACATGAGGCTCATCTTTTGGGTGTTCTTTCTGTCTTATTCCTACTCTGTAATCTTGCCTGGGATAAGGAGTGGGTAAGAAAAGGGTAGCAAAGTAGGGCTTGGGAATTTCTTAAATTGCAGATGAAGAGCACATATTTTTTCTACTTGTACATTTTGTGTAATTGGAAGATTTGAATGCTACTTTTGTAGTCAACCACTCCCACATTTGATGAACCTATGGGAAAAATAAATGTTAGATGTAGCTTTATTCCCAGTGTAGGAAGGCAGAAGTAGTAAATATGCTCCCCCTTGTGGACCATGTGAATAATGAAGAAGAGGGAATTTTTGGTTTCACAATGGATAAGGGTCAAGAAGGCAGTGGATGAGACTCTCACACTGCCCTTTTCCCCAGCAAGATGCTGACCCCTTGCCTTCAGTTTCCTCTGGTCAAGTGTCTTATCCAGTGTGAGTGTGGCCTTTCTTATGATTAATAGTCTTACCCTTAGCCCCCACCACACTAGCAGATCCTGGGCCTCTGTAAGGTGTTTGAGCTTGGGTGTGTGCAGAGTGAGCTTTTGTTCTTGTGCTTACTAGAGCTATGGGAAAAGAACCCGTGAAATGTTTTCCCTTGGGCAGCTGAATAGGGCCAGAGTGAGGAGGAGGACCAGATTTGTTTCAACTCTCAATTTATTGAGAAATTCAGTACATATATTTTATACCTGAATAATTCACTAGTCACAATAGAGAAATTAGTACTTTATTGATTTGTAAAATAATATAATTTAGGAAACTAATTTAGACCAGCACTCTTCATTTTAGAGATGAGGAATCTTGCTCGCTATCATTGAGAAAGATAGTTTTATAAGCAGTGATATTAGAATCTCACAAACCTGACTCCTATCCATGTTACCATGAAAAAGCCACATCATCTCCGAGCATCATTTTCCTCATCTGTAAAATGGGCATTGTATCTGTCGTAGAGGCTTGTCCTTGGAAATCACCTTGTTTTGTCATATAATGAGTGCTTAATAAATACTGTTTTTAAGTATTATCTTTATTTTTTAATTTTTATTTTTTAAGATTTATCTTTAAATAAAAATGCAGATAAAGATATGGAGAGCTATGATGGTATATTTCCATCTTAAAGTTCTTCACCAGTTTTTGTAGTACATATGAGACTACAAGTACCTATTTGGGTTCATTATGTTAGTCTTATATCTAATTAGGGCATACTTTCCTTGAGATAAAAAAACAACAAATTTGCAGTCTGTATCTCACAGTGTGGAACACAAAATCGAGGGCTTTGATTATTAGTAAATTGGTTGAAAAGGCAACTTGTCCAGGAAATATCGATAGGTAACTATTTTTAGCTACTATTTTTTTGTTAAAGGATGCATGCTTGTAGATGTTAATAATGTATTTGTGCAAAAATTGAAAAAAACAACTTTTTGTTTGCTTAATTAGGAGAGAGAAGCTCTACAGAAACAGCTGGATGAAGCAAACCGAGAAGCCCAAAAATACCGACAGCAGCTTCTAAAGAAAGAACAGGAAGCAGAAGCCTACAGACAGAAATTAGAAGCTATGACTCGTCTTCAGACTAATAAAGAAGCTGTTTAGTTGAAATGAACATGTAGTTTGAGTTACTTTTGGTCAAGAAAGAATACAATCTTGAACTGTACACAGGAAGGTGCAGTCATGGGAAGACAGGATGCTAGAAGAGACTACAGATTGATAATTGGACTAAAGCCATGTGGTCTGAATCCTTGTAACATAAAACTTTTGAAGTTGTCAAATGTATTTAAAACTGAACTCTGTAAATAGTTTTTGTTTTTTTTACAGTTCTAAATGAGTTGATAAAGATTGTTGAAGAGATCCAAAAACACAATAAGCCACTGTTTTTGTGAATTCTTTTTGATTTTAGTACGAACGAACCTTAATTTCTCAGAAACAGAACAGTTTTAAGGGTGATCGTTGATTAGACCAAATGTGTCATAATTATGTGGTGGACTGATACTGGAATTGCTCCTGTACGTTAAAGCTTCTGTGTGAAGAGAAGATTTCTCCCAGGAAATGTTTGTACAGCTTTAAGTTGTCTCAGATTCTCTGAAAACATTTTTTAGAAAACAAATTTTTATATTTGTTCAACTTCAGCTATACCCAAGTAGATTTACATGTATATGAAGCAAATATTTTTTAAACTTTGTGTTTGTACATATCCTGCATGTTTTATAATTTCAAAATGTATCACTTGCATAGGTATTTTCCCCACAAAGATAATGAAAATTATTTGGGGAAAAAACCCTCCTTTTATTCTGTAGGTCATCTTAACTAAGTAAACTAGCAGCTGGTTTTATTGGAATGATAGTGTTCTTGGAAGGAGCAGCTTACAAGATAACTTGAATTTGAAAACTACAAAATCTATGCTTTTTTGAAAATTTCATAGTGGGGACGTGAAACTGTATTCTGTGCCTTCCATCATGATTTCCACATGAAAGCACTTTAAGGCAGTATGTTTTAAGATAATGTTTTTGGAAAACTCAAAGCATATGGGTTTTTGAAATATTTCATGGACTCATTCCCCTCCCTCCCCCAGGAAATTATTCTTATGGAAAAAAAATGCTTTTGTATGTAGAACAAGAACTTTTTGTACTACAGTGATGCTATAGAGATGTCTACCATAACTTTTACTTTTCCCTGTGAAAGCTGTATGTCCGTGCTGCGACTGCTCTCATCACAATATTGTCGAATTCCACAGTGTATGAACATTACACTCTGACATACTGTTTATTCTTTTTTTGTAATATGTAACTTCATACATTTTTTCTTGCTTTATTTCTTACATTAATGTTTTAATTGCTTTATGAAAATGTTTAATCCTAAGGCTCTACTAGATAATCTATACTGTAAAGAGAAGCAATTACCCTTAAGAAACAATTACTCTGGCCTACTTTTCTATTTTACAATTAAATATCTTTTCCACATATATTCAGTGTAGACTTATATTTTGACCATATTTTGTTCACACGTTAAAATTTTTGTTCTGTGTATTAAAGCCATATTCTACCATATGAAAATACGTATTCTTCACACTGTCTTGAAAGTCCTTGAGGTAGCTCCTTGGGAATTTGTTAATTCTCTTACTGCAGTTATCAGTTCGGTAGGTAATATAGTAAAATGATCTGTGAACTATCAGCTTGATAGTTGTTACTTGGAAACTGTTATAAAGATTCTAGGACAAATTTAAAAACTAAGGAAGAGAAAAATTTTTTTTTCAGTTTTCCACTAAATTTGACATAAATTTTATTTTTTAAAAACATCTTTATTGCTGTAAGTATTACATATGGCCCTTTTTTCTCCTATTGACCCCTTATAGCCCACCCCTGCCCCCTGCCCCAGCCTCCACCACCCTATTGTCTGTGTCCACGGGTTATGCATATATGCATACGAGTTCTTTGGATCTCTTCCCACCCGTTGACCCTCCCCCACCTTTCCTCTGACATTACAGTTTTTTCCATGCTTTTGTGTCTCTGGATCTGTTTTGTTTAACAGTTTATTTTTTTTATTAGATTCCACATATGAGTGAGATCATGTGATACTTGTCTTTCTCTGACTGGCTTATTTTGCTTAGCATAATACTCTCCAGGTCCCTCCAATGCTGTCTCAAAGGGTAAGAGATCCTTTTTATACTACTGCATAGTATTCCATGGTGTACATGTACCACAGCTTTTTTATCCACTCATCTACTGATGGGCACTTGAGCTGTTTCCAGATCTTGGCTATTGTAAATTGTGTTGCTATGAAGAAAGGGGTGCACATATTCTTTCTGATTGGTGTTTCAGATTTCTTAGAATATATTCCTAGAAGTGGGATCACTGGGTCAAATGTAATTCCATATTTAATTTTTGAGGAAATTTCATACTGTTTTACATATTAACTGCACCAGTCTGCACTCCCACCAGCAGTGTACTAGTGTTCCCTCCTCTCCATATCCTTGCCAACACTTGTCATTTGTTTATTTGTTGATGGTAGCCATTCTGACAGGTGTGAGATGGTACCTCATTGTTTTGATTTTCATCTCTGATGATTAGTGACTTGGAGCATTTTTTCATATGTCTCTTGGCCATTTGTATGTCCTTTTTGGAGAAGTGTCTATTTAGGTCCTTCACCCCATTTTTTAATTGGATTGTTTGTCTTCCTTTTGTTAGGTTGTATGAGTTCCTTATATAATTTAGATATTAACCCTTTATCAGATGTATCATTGCCATACAGTGGGCTCCCATACAATGGGCTCCCTTTTCATTTTGTTGATGGTTTCTTTTGCTGTGCAGAGCTTTTTATTTTGATGTCGTCCCATTTGTTTATTTTCTCCTTAGTTTCCTTTGCCCTATGAGGTTATCTGTAAACATATTGCTACGAGAGATGTCTGTGATTTTGCTGCCTATGGTTTCTTCTAGGATTTTTATGGTTTCACAACTTACATTTAAGTTCTTTATCCATTTTGAGTTTATTTTTGTGTATGGTGTAAGTTTTTGGTCTAGTTTCATATTTTTTTTTTGCATGTATCTGTCCAATTTTCCCATCACCATTTATTGAAGAGACTGTCTTGACTCCATTGTATGCTTTTGCCTCCTTTTCAATTAATAATTGAGTGTAGTGGCTTTGGTCAATTTCCGAGGTCTCTGTTCTGTTCCATTGGTCTATATGTCTGTTCTTATACCAGTAGCAGACTGTTTTGATTACATTGGCTTTGTAGGATAACTTGATATCTGATATTGTGTCCCCTCCAATTTTGTTCTTTCTCAAGATTGCTGCACCTATTCCGGATTTTTTTGGTTCCATATAAATTTTTGGAGTATTTTTTCTAGATCTGTGAACTGTGCCATTGGTAATTTAATAGGGATTGCATTGAATCTATAGATTGTTTTGGGTAGTATGGATATTTTAATGATGTTAATTCTACCAATTCATGAACATGGTATATTCTTCCACTTGTTTATATCTTCCTCTACCTCTTTTTTCAGTGTCCTGTAGTTTTTTGAGTAGAGGTCTTTTACCTCCTTAATTAAGTTTATTCCTAGGTATCTTTTTTTTTTTAATGAAGCATTGACAAATTCTTTATGGTATTTATTTTCATTTTTTTGTTAATTCTCACCTGAGGATATTTTTATTATATTCACCAGTTTATTCTGTTCATCAGATTATTTATTCACTTGATTTTTAGATTCACTTGTTGATAGATGTGTATTTGTTGTTCTTTACCTTTTGTATTAATTTGTATCTTTACCTTTTTCTTCTTCTTCCTCTTCTTAAAGGATACCTTTCAGCATTTCATATAATACTGGTTTGGTGGTGATGAACTCCTTTAGCTTTTCCTATCTGTGAAGCTCTTTATCTGACCTTCAATTCCCATAGATTTTTATTTTTACAGGCCATTTTTAGAAAGCATCCTATATAATAAAAGCGTAATAATATGGTAGGTGTCCGACCGATTGGTCGACCAGTCGCTATGACACACACTGACCACCAGGGGGCATACACTCTGACCGGTAGGTTAGCTTGCTGCTGGGGTCTGGCCAATCGGGACTGGGCGAAGGGGCCAGACACGCCATGGAGCCCTCCCGTGGTCCCTTCCCGGCTGGCCTGCCCCCATGGCCCCGATTGGGACTTGGCAAGATGGCCTGATCAGTTCAATCGTGGGCCAGGCTGAGGGACCCCACCTGTGCACTTATTGTTATACAAAGAAGAAACACATATACAGAATACACAAATTACCAGCAAGGTGGACCCTAGGCCTTCTCTCCACTCTGGGAAAACAGATCAGAAGAGAAACAATTATTCCATCTTGGTAATTGTTTCCATCTATACAGTTTTTTTTAAGTGGCATTTCTACTCCTTTGCTGGTGCTTCCCTCCGCGCGCCCCCCCC